CATCCATTTTTGCAAAATAATGAACGCATAAAATTGATAGCAGCAAGGAATCGGACTGATGAGAAACGCCACTAAAATATTTTAAACTTCACGGAAGGGAAGTCAGCCACGTTGGCAGAATCTGAAAGTAGTTAATAACCCAATTATTTCATTTTTAAGGCCAAACCTCTCAGTTAAACACAGCTGTTATTGTTAACATGGATAAACGTTGACTTAATCGTCTTTAAAGGCAACATTGAATACCTATAACTTTCCGAAAAATGATGCAGAAAAAAATATTTAACTCCTGTCTGTGTCAGAAAAAAAAAATAACATAGCCCTTATGATAAGGAGGAAGGGTGTCTGGATATCTGTTGCTAAGACGTGTTACAATTTTAATTTGCTTTGTTTTGATTGTTTGTTTTTTTCTTACTATTCTTGTTTTAATGTTTTGATGTGGGTAAAATTCGCAAAGCCCTCTCACGTATCGATTGGGAAATCAGTGTCGTTATTTTTGCCCCTCTTCCTTTATTATCACGGGTCAAAGCGCTTCGCTGCCTCTTTATGAGGTAGAAAAACAATCATCATCATTGGTCTGCGTCGGCAATTTCCCTGGAAGTGTTCTGTCGGGTCATCTACATCAGCAAATTCCCAGTTCGTCCTTGGCTCTTTGTTGAACAGGCCTCTTGGCTGATAAGACTGGGATGTTAGCTTTTGAACAGAGAAACCTGTTACAAGGGATCAGAACGAAGTATTTTTTTTTTACATGATAACCTAAATTATACAGGCATTGTGATTGGTGCTCTGTTATTATCTATAGGAGGTCGCACGCATAGATGATGCTTTCTATTTAAAACAGTTGCCCCTTTATTCTTATTCAGGTCATTATTTATTTATTGAAGACATCTGAGATCTATTACAGAACAGACGCATTTATCTATTCATAAAAAAGCTCTTTATTTAAGAGAAAATTCTAGGAAAAGACTTCTTTAGCAATACATCAAATTTTCTAAACCTAAGTAAAGGATTCTTTAGCGTCCTTTGTAGCAGCCACCAGTTGGAGTGACAAGACTTAGCATGTTCTCACTAACTAAAGACATTGGACAGTCCGCTGAAACCAATTTTACTTTTGAACTGGTCTCCACTTTGTAGTTAAAGTCAAGCAGACACAGGTTGACAACAATAGCGCTTAGACAAAACTTCCTTAACACAACTGCGAAAACTCCTGTTGAAAACTATATAGATTATGGGATTAATGGCACCATTTAAGAACAGCATTAGAAGAGCAATGAAACGGAAATGTCGAGTTTCACTGTAAACCACATAGAAGTCAAGCGCGAAAGACAATTGAAGGGTTAGAATCGGCAAGGAACAGGCATAAAATGCGACTATTAGAGTTATTAACATCTTGAAAATCTCACGATTTCGCTTCTCTCTCAATGCGCGAGCTCTTTCACTAACGTTGTTGGGGAAGTTTCGACGCCAAAGCTTGAATCCGATGGCTGCGTACAAAACGAGCATAGCAAGAAGCGTCATGAAGAGAATTACGGCGAAACCTGCATAGAAAATTTTTATGACTTGATCCTTGAGACTACAGATTGTGATGCCCTCGTTGCTGATGAATTTTGCGAAATAAAATATCGGCAAAGCAAACAGAGCTGGTACCAGCCATGTCAGAAAAATAATAAAGAAGCAGGTCTTCCGCGTGATAATTTTTCGTAGAGGAAAGAACACCACACAAAGACGATAAATTGCGATAGCCAGAATTGTCAGGTTTGCAGTTACCATGGTAATGACAGAAAGGAACATGTCTATCTTACAAAGAACTGTTCCAAAGTTTCCCTGTAGAATCCAGTGGCCGTTCAGCACTAGATTATTGTACGCATGCGGGATATTTTGAATAGCAAAGAAAATATCCGCCACAGAAATATTTGCAATGAATAAGCTGTTGGCATTCCTCATGTGACTTCGTCTGAAATTCTTTTTCAGAACGAGCACAACCATAGCGTTTTCAAGGAGAGATACCGCAAGAACAGACATGCAAAGTGTGGCTTTCGCTATTGCTTCGGTTTTTCTTTCATGAACAGGCGATGAATCACTAGCGTTTTCCATTTCCAAGAAATATTTGTGAAACGCCTTAGTTTTCCCGTCGAAACTAGGTCATGAAATGAGATTTGGTTAGGAGTGAAACGTGCAAGCGCATACAAACCCTTTTTGAGGGCGCCTGCGGCTGTCTAAATATTGATTTACATAACCGAAAAGTCACTCCTGCATTTTCACTTCATTTCCATAAGTTCTATAGCACGAGGACAAAGACAGCCATTGTTTTTAAGTAAAAAGGAATTTTGAACCGAAGTGGTAGTCGCTCTAAAGTAAGATTTCCTTTTGTTAGGAGTTCAGTTTATTAAGAATCTGTCAGAAAAGACAATTACAACAAGCTGAACAGGAAGAATCTTTACCCGGCCATTTTCAGGACGAATATAGCAAATTCACCGCATGAAGCGTATCTTATCACTGAAAACGATAGACAATTGGGATTGGGAAGTTTTAGGGGATTGAAAGCTTTTGACTCAAGGACGTGATCCATTACAAGCTTTTCCGTTTGTTGAGTTCCCACGTGTGACGTACTTTCGCGGTTAATTATTTTTTATATTTGTTTTATCATAATGTTGGCGCTATTATGAGCCAAGTTACAAAACCGAGAAGTAATATTGATGTATAATATATTTTAGGTCACAGGAAGTTGACAGAATATTTCAATAAAACATGTTGTGATACTTTTAGAATGACTTTCGGCGGTATCGCTGGGATTCACGTTCAAGTTAACTTCAAAAGAGGATCTAGACAGTTGGAGCAAAGGCATAGATAGACAAATAAAACCGAAAAATCGTAGAACGAATTGAAAAGTCTTTGTGATAATGGTGTGGACTGCAGCTTGCATCAAACAAAACGGCCGTTGGACGGGCTAACAACGGTACGTGCGTACACAATATAAGATAATCATTTACTCTTGAGGGCATAATAGCTGCATGCAGAATCCTAGAATTGAAAAACAAACCATAAAAAAATGATGACGACAGTGTCCATGCACTAGACAATGAAAGTTGATAGAAAAGAGGACTTGGCGGAAACTGCGACATTAAATAAAAAATCAGCTGCTGTTCAGAGCAGAATTCTGTCGCCGAGAATGTTTTTGGAAGGTTATTTTTAGCAAGCATTTCTAGCAAGACACGAGACACAATATCACGACGAGTATTTATCTATGGTGATCCAAGATGTTATCTAAAAGTGCTTTTTACTTTTATCTTCACCAAATTCTCCACCTTTTGCGTTCGTTATAATGTCTTGTGGAACAGTATTTGGAGAGAGTCCTGTCAGATAAACCTTTGCACTCGCGGAACAATCATTTTGCCCTGTTGAACACGCACACATCAGTTAAGGTGAAACTCCACGTAAGATTGAATCAATTACGCAGAAAAAGAAGATCAGTAGAGAGAAGCGCTATTATATATGCCCTTGCTCGTGAAAATGTAATAAAGCACGAAACAGGAACAATTCTGCCTTTGAGCGCAAGCACAATCATTTAAGGTGAAAATCCATGCAAGATTATTGCATCTAAATACCCATAATGATTTATTAATGAACTAAAATTTTTAAAACAAAACAGTAAATAGAAATTACCTGTATATTTTAACGCGAACTAAGTGTTTGCTCAAAAGTTTAATTTACTCGAAAGTTTTATTTTAAATGGTCGAATTAGGTTTGTCAGCTGACCAGTGAAAAAACATTGTCTGCAATATTGCCTTTCACTGACAGATGCTAAAAAATAGGAGGAAAGATGGATCAGCTATCAAAAATGGAAGTATTCGTCTTAATTCCCTCAAAAGAGTCCCTTTTTTTAACCCAGATATCATTTAATATAACGACTTGCAGCCTCGCCCACGGAAGCTTTTATAGAATCACTTCTTTCCGTCCTTTTCAATAAGATATCTATTCTGTTGAAGTGATCGATTTCGTCACTAAGATCAATGATAAAAGTTGACTGATAAAAAGATGAAAATTACCGGAAAATAGCCCAGAAGATACTTGAATAAAATAAATTTTTAATGATCATGATCCTTTTTACATAATGAATCATTTTTTCGTGGTATAAGGGCATGACGTTGGCAGGTATGTCAACAACCTGAGGCTAGTTCTGAGCAAAACCATTAACAGGAGACATCAGACTTAGATGACTTAACAAATTACAACTTTTTCAGGTGGTCATGTGGCCAAGGGAAACACATACTAAACTCATTTCAATCCTTGGCGCTGACCGAAAGGAGCGCAGCTCCATAAGCGTAAATACAAGGAATAAGCGCTTTATTACAGGTGCCTCCGCTTTACTTAGGGGAGGGGACACGGGAGAGTCTTGAAGTAAGGCGCTAGATCATTTCCTATCTCATTTGACAGTAGCTTGGTTTTAGGCAATTTTAGGGTAATTCTGACAATTGATTTAGTCAAGCTTACAAAATCCGTAAAATTGACACTTTATAGTTGGTCTGTCTCCGCTTTAATCAATTTTATTAAGGACAATATTTTTAATAGAGTTAAACTAAAGACAACTATAAATGTCTGTTTTTCCACTGATCAATGAATCGGAAATAACTTCAAACATTTCATTTTTGCTTGTCATTAACGACAAGATAGCCGTGGAACAATTAATTTCCGTACACTTTGTTTCGCACCTTTAAAGCTAGAATAGTGTTGCGTTTATTATGTTGTCTTTACGTAGCGTTAGCTGTTATAAGCGCGAGTCTTCATATAGGGTATCATTGTTAACACAGGGCGCGTTCCTTTCGGTACTAAACTGCTTTTTTCCATTGAGTTGCCTCCTGTTGCTATACGATTGCAGTGTGATCGCTGAACTGGGCGATTTGCATGTAAATAAAACTTTAAATTCACGGCGAATATCAGAGTTAAATGTAGAGTAGATCACAGGATTTATTGCTCCATTACAAAGCATTAAGAAAGCTGAAATTATGCTGTAGTACGAACCAAGTTTTTTGTAAAAGTTGAAGTGAAGAGAAAGCTGATAAATCCAAAATGGAATAAAGGAAATGTAAAATACAAAAACTAAAGTCGCCAGTAACTTCAAAGCTTTATGTTTCTTGGCTGGTTTCTTTCCCTTAACGTCGTAAAGTTGAATCCCCGGTACTTTTCGAAGCCATATCTTTATCAGAATGGCAGAATAAAGAGCCAGTGTGACGACAAACCCGGCTGCTAATAGCACAGTTTGAAAAATAAACCAGCGGATAACTTTTTCGCAGCTGAGGCAGGCAGTACATGTTACCTTTCCATCGGGATCTTCATTGTCTTTCTCAAGGTACGCGAAGGAAAATAATGGTGCACAATAAATACCGCTGACAAGCCAAGTAGATAAGATTATAAAATATGCCCGTTTCGTGGAAATTAATGCCTTCAATGGGAAAAATATCGCTAAAAACTTCTCCACGGCGGTAGCTAAAATGGTCAGATTCGAGGTCAGAATTAAGAGCGCTGAGAAGAACACATCAAGCTGGCAGAGATAATTTCCAGAACGGCCACGAATTTGCCATGCTCCGTCCAGTATCAAGTGAGTGTAGATTATTGGGATATTTTCTATCGAAAACAACAAGTCGGCTAGGGACAAGTTCATTATGAAAAGATGATGGACTCTTCTTCGCGACTTGCTCCCAATTCGTCTAAATACCCTGATGACGACTGCATTTCCAACCAGAGAGAGAAAAGCTGTAAGGTAATATGCGGATACAAGGAAAAACCTTCCAGTTGCAAGCCCTGTAATCTGTGAATCTTCATTTGGCTCAGACAATGCAGTGGAGCAATCGCTCAAATTTGTTTCGTTCCCGAGAATCATTTTGCATTGCACTATTTTAAACGACGCTTCTCCTCATAGGCGTCAGCTTTCAGATGTTTAAACAAAGGACACGTACATGCCTAATTTAAGCGACCTTTTTAAAAAAAAAGCCATTAACGTTAATTTCATCTCGAGAATCAATTGGTTGTCTTTTGGTTGCACAAAATTCGCTTTTTGCAACATTGGAATAATTTTTTGTGTCGCTCCCTAATTCAAATCATATTTCAGTTTTCATTGCATATGAATATTTTCATTACAAAATCGTTACTCACATTAAAACAAACAAACTGGCATCATTGGTAATGGCCGCATTTCATTAAAACGTTTTCTAATGTTCACCACTACCTCCCAAGCTCTCGATCTCTCTCCGAGCAAACTACTCAAACTAAATAATTGAAAATTTAAACCAAAAAACCGTCATGGACATGTCAATTTATTTAACGAGCAAATGCCAGACCCGTTTTCAAATAAAGTGTAAGAGACCAGAATAACACCCGCAGAAAACTTTTTATTGTCGTTAGTATTTGTACGGAGATATCAATATCATGTTTTCGATCGCAGGTGACTGCCTTTTAGAACGAAAACGTAGACATTTTAAACGACTTCTGTTATCAATAGATGCAACTTGATAAGTCTGACATGTACAATCACGGGTCTTACTAAGCAATAAACCACATCCACGACTCTGGGAGGATTGTCACTACTCGTACCTGATGAAATATTTAGATGGTGTGTAATAAATTTCTCAAGTAAGTTCAGTGTTTGCCATTTTTTTTTCTTCCATATCATATATTTTCGATCAGTCGTTGGTATTCAAACTTTTCTGGCTTACATTTAAAAATTTTAAAGATTGTAGTAGATAAACAGGTCATTTACATGCAGCAAACGAAAAAACGATTGAATAATTCTCGTTAAGTATGGAGTCCATTTGGCAATGTTTTGTAATGGCCCCACCTAAAATGGCTAAGACGTCCCTTGACGACTTCTCTTGACAGTTTATGTGTGAAGTTACGATGATTTTTCATAAGGAAACGGAGACATTCTCACGGAAAATCTGGTAAGAAGTGTAAGGTGAATTTTGATAATCATAATGCTGAGAGTGACTCCTCGTCGACAGCTGTTGATGACAAGCCAAGTTCTTTGTCGATTCAGATGTTCAATTGGTTTTCATAGAGAAGTTTTCTTGTTCATACACGTCGAAGTTCCAGCGTGAGTAAGGATTCCTCGCTCCCTGCTTCTGAATTTACAACTGAGTCGAGGATCTCAGTCCATCATTTCCATCATCTGTGCTTTTTTTCCTTGCAGCAGCCTCAGTTTCAACAGAGTAAGCAAGACTCCTAGAGCATTTGCAATGAGACAGAGCAGCCTTGATCCCATCACGAAAGCTCTCATTGAAAATGAGGTAAATAATTGGATTAATGGCACCGTTCGAGAAGTATAACAAAAATGCAATAAACCGGATGTGGTTTATTTTTAACAATTCGTAGAAACCAAGGACCAAAGACACATGTAAACTCAGAATTGGCAAGGAACAGATGTAAAACACGACAATCAAAGTAATGAGCATCTTAAAAATATCGCGATTTCTTTTCAATCTGCGCTCGCGATTTTTTTGACTTGCATTGCCAGGAAATTTTCGACCCGAAAGCTTGAAACCAATGGCTGTATACAACGCCAGGATGGTGGCGAGAGTTGTGGCTAAAATTCCCGCCAAAACCATGTACCACGTTTTCAGAATCCTTCTATCTGTGAGATTACACGAGGTGACACCGTTTCTAATTATTAAGTCACCGTAGTACAGTAGGGGTGAAGCGAAAAGCGTGGGTATTAACCATGTCACAAATATGATCATAAAACAGATTCTTCGGGTAATGATCTTCTTGAGCGGAACATACACTGCAAACACTCGATCCACGGCAATGGCTAAGATAGTAAGATTTCCAGTAACTATAGTTATAAGAGAAAAGAACATGTCGATCTTGCATAATGCAATTCCAACCCATCCTTGAAGATTCCATTGTTCTTTCAGTAAATAATTGTTATAAGCATGGGGTATGTTCTGTAAAGCGAACAGAACGTCGGCCACTGACATGTTTGCGATGAAAAAGGTATTAGCTGTTCTCATACGGTTTTGATGGTTCTTCTTAAGAATCACTAGCACCAACATGTTTTCAATTAAGGACGTGACGAGGACAAACATGCAAATTGTTGCCTTTGTGAGTCTGAACTCAAAGCTTTCTCCCTGAGAGCCTCCAGTTGAGGAGTTAGTGCTGTTTTCCATTCCGATGTAAGAGTCAAAATGAAATATTTCGTTCCTACCGTTCAGATCTGCGTTTCTTGATTAATTCTCGGAACAAAGTTGTAGATGTTGTCTTTAAAAGGTTTGTCGTCTTTGAAATTAAAATCGCTTACCAACAATTTTAAAAACTGCACACATCAACTTTGGCGTCAAATGGAACACCAAAGCAAATATCGATTCTGATGTTAATGTCATGTTAATTTTTGAATAAATTCAAATAAATTGCTTATCATGTGGGAGGATTGTGCTGATAGCTAGTAAAAGATGGCCTCAAAAGTCTTACAATGGTAAACGTTTCGATAAAAAGTTTTATTTGTGGTGAGTACAACAGCCACTCCAGAAAATAAATGAGGTCTACGGCCACTAAACACTTTAGATATGATTTTGTTTGCGAAAACGCTACAGTCGCCAAGGTGGCACATTCTTAAATTAATTTTTATTATTTGGGAAATATATTGTTTCAGCTGTCATAAGTACACCAGCAATATTCTGAGCCAACACATAATTCATTAGTCTTAATGAAAAATATTGAAATGACCAATTTTATGTGCTCAGTAAAAAAACAAAGGTATAGTCACAGGACATTAATAAAAAAAGATGGAAAACTTAAAGATGAAGAGGCAATATTAAGTACTAAAGGAAGGTGGCTTAAAAGGACAAAAAATAGGAACGGATAAGCAATTTTTAATGGCAGTTTTGACAAAAAACTTTTTTGTTTCCAAGACAAAACTTCACCAATATAAAATGGGCCCTTTCGTAGTTCCATGTTTGCAGATACTTTCTCATAAAGGTGCAACAATGAAAATTATTGATAAAAAAGTAGTAATCATTTATATTGGTGTCGAGGTAATTTACTTTTTATTCTCCTCACTAATGCAAAAAATATGATCATTGTGATCTCCTTTTCCTGATAGTAAATTACCGCACATTTTAATTGGCGTATTCCATAATTCAACAAGAAAGAAAATTAGTTTGTAGTTGCAAACAAATTTATATTTGTATATTTCAGCCTCTCTAAGCTCTCTAAAGGCAAAATAATAGTCTTTTTAAAGCAACGCTTAGACAAAAACGAAAATGCAAAGTCAGTTATTTCGTTTGAAAAGCACTGTTTGAACGAAATTGAACTGGCTATTTCTAGGCCCGAAGATCGACAGTTTGACACCTCATGTCAAACTGCCAAAGTAAACAATCTGGTCAAAAGCTTGTCTACATTAGATTTTGCAATTTGTTTGATTGATAATGTTTTTAAGGAAATTGGTGGATGTCTCAGATGAATATGCACGACAAACTGTACTGTAAATATGAATTATTTTTAAAGATTTTACAGGACAGTTGCAAGATACTTCCTATTGTCAAATTCGTAGATAAAATTATTTTATGCTTCAATTTCTGACCAAATTTAATCTGGTAAAGTATTTTACATGTCATCACGCCGTGGAACAGTCTGTTTTGTCTTTATTCTAGTTGTTATAGAATGCGTCGTAAGTGTACTTAAGGCATCAGTCATCCACATAACTTTGTTGTTATCAGCAGAGCGGAGACCGACTGTTTGGAGAAGCTATGGAGCGCTACTTCTGTATGCCTAGAAAGTTTTATACACCCTAAAGGTTCTAAGAGAGATTGCTGTAAGTTTTTGTCAATGGCGACTGAACCCTTAGCCGTGGGCTTAGCTCAGTCCGTGATAGATTGTGTTGCTTAAAAGTCACTCTGCTGTAACGATTACCCTATGAAGTAAAGTTACATAAATAAATGGCCATATAAGATACCTTTACAACGTATTTTTCCGTAGGTGAAGTTATACCCTAACAATGGTCCAGTATAGGTCCAACATCGTTGGACTGTGATGCACCAGCGAGAATTTTAGGTGGCAGGATTTAACAAAGTTATGCTAAGTGTGCCCGATTCAAAAGGAATTTGTCTCACCGCGCAAAGCGAAAAGGGACTTGCTTGGAGATCACTTTATACTTCCAGTGGTGTGCATGTAATGCCAGACATAGGGTCAGCAGAAACAATATGAAACCTACGACGTTATGTAGAGGCCATGAACAAGTTTCTCATTTCCATTACAGTTTCTACGATACGACTGTTATGGACACTCCCAAGAGGCTACTAAGTTCCATACTCCTGATCTGATCTTCATGTGTAAACCTTTCGCTGATGCTGAAACGAAAGGCAAAAATAATAACACTAAAACTAAAAGCCAGTGATACAGCGATTGCAAAGGCAAGAGATACATGCCTGCTTTGAACACTCTGTTTCATAAAATGATAGAAGGAGAGTAACAAAACAAGAGAAAAATTCAAGCAGCTTGTAGACTGCAACTACTATAAAATATTCTGATTTCTAAGGAAAGAGGTCATAAGGGGTGTTGCTATTCTCTAGGGGTAAAATGCTGTACATAGCTCATCGCAGCTAGTTACCCTCAAATACTTGTAACATTTCCCAGACATATCAACCCATAAGTACTCCTTGGTGCAGACAATCAACACTAGAGTCAAGACTTTCCCTAAGATACGAAATCTGATATTTAATCCCGATTACATTGCACTATCCTATAAGACACCCAGTCGCCATTGACAATAACAATGAAATATCATACTTTACCTCCATATGAGACTGTTCCATCATTTTTCGTAGCAATGTAATTGCTTTCGGGCAGATCAGACTTGAGCCTTTCAGGAACTGAAATAGCAGGTACGAAATCCCTAGAGGACGATTCCCGTTTCCATTTCTCAGGCAAAATGCAACTCCAAGTAACGCCATCCCTACTGACTGCGTGACATCGACTATCTGTTCCCAAGCCAAAAATCCTTTTGTACGATCCACGAACAGTCATCCCAAAAATCATTTTCACTCGCGGATCTAGCCCTATGGGTAAAAAGATGCCAGTCTTTGCTTCATAGTGGCATTGAAATAAAATACATTGGACAACTTTAACGAGAAAGCATTACTTATACATACCAATCCATTGAACACCATCATTTGAAAAGTAACAGGAAGGTTTCAAATCACTATAGAAGAGGACGACAATAAAGTAAAGATTACAAACCGCAAAAATTACGAAATCAGTGGATTACTAACGCCGATCACTTACAATGCATATGTTTTTTTAGGTGAACATTCCTCTGTTTTAGCGGTTAATTGTTGACTCGTCGTTATTCGTGTCTACCGCCAGGGGCAGTACGAGAGCGCTATCCTTTTTAACTGTAATTTTACGATGATCTCATATAATTTTAACTACTAAGCAAGAAATCATGCTCTCTTGCAAATAATTTAATGACCTTTTCTTCTCTTGGCAGAGGTATACTTCGTCAAACAATGGATTCAACAGAAATCCTCTCTGAGCATCTAACAAGATATAGAAAAATATTCTTTAAGATCTACCAAACATAATTTTACAAATCTAACAACTCACTACTTTCTATCAAATATTCGAATTCGTTACTACCATATCTATTACTGACAAAATTGAAATCTTTAAGCTAGCTTTGCATATCATCCCCTGAAAATTTCAATAATTGATTTTTGAGGTTAAATCGAGGTCCAAATTCTCTTGTTGTCCGCCATATTTAATTACCTTCTCTCACTGTAAAGTTAAGCGTTACGGACTCTATTGAGCCCACGAACAACTTGGCAGCATTACTTGCCATGCGTTGTTCATACAGAATGAAGCTTGGTACAGACAGGAAGTATTTTCCAACAGAAAGCACACGTTTAGGATCAATTTGGACCGTGATGTTAATTTGCTTTGATGACCCGGGCTGAATTTCTCCAATCTAACAAACATAAAAAATTACAAAAGTAGGATTGAGTTAAAAATGTCATTTGCATTTGATTGTCTTATGGCGTCTGCGCGCCTCGCTTGAATAACAATTCATGACGATACCATTAACCTAGAGAAAGATAACTGAAAACTATTGGCGAAGCTGTTAGCCGTAAGAAACCACTATTGGCTTTGATTAAATAAGCATTGTATAGGCTTTCCTTATGCAGTACAGACGTGTGAGGCAAATGCCCCGAGCTGAATTGAACATCTGCCGAAAGTTAACGATTTTTCTTCTTCTCACTGAGACGGTCATGACTTAAGTCTCAGAACTTCAGTCAATTGGCTTTTTAAAAGACACTGCGTGCTGGAAAAGACGTTGTCTTGCAAAAACGCTTTCAGTTGGCCCTAAGCTTTCGAACTTTTTAATAATCAACGGACAATTGAGAGGTTACCTCCTTGGCATGCAACAAAACTATGAATCGAACAGCAGGAAATGAAGCCTAAGGTAAATGAGCCTTACGTATTTTTTTCATGGGCTCACCTTAAAATTATACTCTCCAGGGTAAGGACTGGACACATTTGTCAAAGGCACGTGATTCAGCATACTCGCGTAGTAAGGAAGAGTCCAAACCAATATTGTATTAAAGGCAGTGTCACGCGACCACAAGTCGTGCGATAAAATTACTGTAAAAGTTACTGAATCACTATAAAAGGATGTAAGCACAGAAATTAATAACTCATGATGAAGAAAACTTAATAAGTTGTTGGTTGCAGGAAAACGATGTAATCTGTGAGCAAAAAATTAGTTCAGTTCTCACTCACTTTTGAAACAAATTGTTGGCATCGTATGTTGATACGGTCTGGTGTACTGTAGGTCTCCTTGCTGCAAAAAGAAAATTAATGCTTAGTTTCACGGTTTAAAGAGTTTACAAATAAACCTTAAACTTTAAACTCCTGGGATATTTTTCCCCTAATTCTCGGTCAACAGCAATTTATGGCTGCCAATTTTACTCCTTCTTCCTTTCTTTGCACCCGTTTTTTTCGCCGTGCTTCTCGCAAGGCCTTGAGCTGGGACTTATGGCCTGTAGGTAGGGCCCTTTATGCACCATAACCCCCGGCTTTTACACGGGAATGCTTTCTTTTTTCAATTCTTTTCAATGGAATTGCGCGCGGAGCCGTATGAGTCATGTGAAAATCCTCGTGAACACCCACCTCTCACCAGGACCTCCACAACACGAGAGTCACTCCCAGCGACGTTTGACGCATTACAAGCATAGAGTCCTGCATCGGACTGTTTGATCGAGGAGAGCTCAAGACTTGTATCATTATGGACCAGTTTATTGTCTTTGTACCAGCGGACTGCTGGTGAAGGATAGCCGCGCGCGGAGCATTGAAGTGTCAAGGAATCTCCTGTGACAACTTCAAATAGAAAACTGGAGACGTTGATGATGGTGGGTGGTTCTGAGAAACGAATGAAATTTTATGTCGCAATAACTTGTCAATGGATTCCTTCTACAAGGGTTGCAAAAGCATTATTACAGTACATGTATTCCCCTCCTCAGGGAAAAAAGCACAAAACCCTTTAAGATCATAACCTCTCCTTTCCGTCGCTTCATAATTATCCTCACGACGCAATGAGTTACTTGATAATAGCCTATAATTTAATCTCATTTCCGAGTGTCGTCGTCTTGAACTAAATCTTTTCCGCATTGTTCTCATGCAATTTACACACCACCCCATAATACACTGTCACATGACTTTCTGTCACCAAACAAGTATTTTCATCGAAAAATAATTGGATACAACTATGAACTGCAATGTTACCGTCAAAACTCCTCATAAGTCTGTCGTCAACCAACCTTTAACTAAAACTGTACCAAGCGATAGGCCGGTGTTTGATTTTCGGCTTAGCACACAGCTAAAATCCAGTATTTCTTCCATCTGAAAATAAATATTCTGTTAGATCATGATGGACGGCATTTAAAATACATAAAATAGTCTCGAGCTAAAAAATTTGGTCCAGCAAAATGGGCGTCTGACCACTGGCCTTTGCCACGTGCTGATCACGCACTTTCACTTTCAGTAACATTTATTCCGCGAGGAAACATTTGTTTAAAATGTATCGCTGGTGGGATGTAAATAAATCTATTCAACGCCACATGATCACCAATAAAATGCAACCAATCATAATTTAACGAGGAGTAAGGTAAACTGCAGATCAGAAATGGCAGAATCTGTTTCCCGCTCGTCGCCCCTCCAGACAATTCAAAAAGGAAATCACCTTTAGAACAATAGTACTCGCGGGCATTTTCGTTTCCGACAAATTTAATGTCTATGGAGAGATTTGGATTATCCACAACAGTGCCCCACAAAATCAAAGCAGAGGCCGGTCCTTTTTAGGCTCATTTATCACCTAGTTCAACCTGGATGTTCTTGACGACTCCAATTGCTTTTTTTTTTTTTATTTCCCTTACATGTTAGCGGGGTCATATTGTATTAAGCTAAAATTACCTTAATTTCATAGGTACCACCAGAATTGGGAGTAGTAAATGGCTGAGAGAAATGTTTTTCCTGACAGTCCAGCTGCGCTTTTCCAAAGGACGCAAGACAGATGCTTTTGTTGAAGAGATTCAGATACACTTGTCGTACGCAGGACGGACAATAGAACGAAGGTGTAAGACAATATTTGTAATAACCTGTGAAAATTAATATTAGTATTATCAGGTTTTGACTGCAAAGTTTCAATCGAGTTTAAATGCGAGCTCAAGCTTGTTACTAAAGGAAAAAAATTCTTCGCTATTTTAGCACAAACCAAAGATCATTTTTTCGCTTGTGAAAACTCTTTTAACGTCGTTTTCACCTGCCAGTAGGATCCTTTTTCCGTCATTATACTCTCTTCAGCCTGTATCGTCAGAACTCTGCAGTCATGCACGTACAAAACGCATTTTTTTGTATACACACTGTCCCCTCTATGTTATTAATAAATAGTTTGTGTTTTTAACTGAATATATCAAGATCTAATGTGAAAGTGCATGGGAAATTTGGAGAGCATTAAACAAGCCGACAGCGTCTTGGACAACTTTAACCCTTCTCATGTGTTTCCCAGACTTCTCAGGTGCATCAACAAGGTTAGAATTAAACTTATTCAAAGATTTGAAAGTCTTGAAAACCTGATGACCCTCTCAAGCCAGATTGATGGGAAAAAAAACCGACGTACCTTTAATTGTAATCAACTCTCCGCGCTGTGCTTGAAGAAAAGTTGTACCTGTTAACGCAAATTCCTTATCGCACGTCCCTGTGAACGAAGGAGTAGTCACCATACATTAATCTCAGATAAATCCTATATGCATTAAGGATTTCATTGAAAAAATCTTGTATCCTTTCGTATTTTGTGGCGAGTATCTTTTGCAAGATTGAATCAAACCTAAACAATGGAACTTTTTGTATTTTTTCGAATGTCTTTTTGAGTCTGGATGCTAAGCCAAAAATAATTTCAATTTTTAATCAGTTTATTAGCCCAAATGACCGCCTCTCCTTTAATAAAGTACTTCGTTAAGAGAAATCTTCAATTCTACGTTAGCACAGTGGCCAAATCAGTTACGAATGCACATCTATTGTTCCGATAAATAAAAATGTACTGATCTCGCTGTGAAACTCTATAAATTGTTTTTTTCCAGATGGCATTTTGAATTGTCTCATCTGCTCCGCTAATGAAAAGTCAATAAACAGACACAGGAACATTTTGCACGTATTCAAGCTTATGCTAGGAAAAGAGACTTGGAATAAGAGACGTTACGCAAAAGAGACGTGGAATATGAAAATTCGTTTTCCTTTGACAAAAATAGGCAGTTTCCTTAGGCAGCTCTGTATAGTAAAACTATGAAAGCATTAAGATGCGATTTCTAATCATTTTAAAATTCATTCAAACGGCAATCTAACCGCTTACCTTGTACTACGAACAGCAGAATGACCTTGAAAAACAAAGGCAGTCTTAAAATTGTCTCAGACCGCATTGTACCTCAGACTAAAGACCTTACAATAGGGAAAATTGGTTTTTCTTTTCCTTACATGCTCTTGACGCAACTTCAAACAGAGACCGGTTCACTTCCAATCTTGTTTTCACTGTCGGCAAAATGTAACATCAATCATTGCGCATTATGAATTAACAGTAAAACACCCGGCCAGTGAAACACAAACACAGATGCGCATTTAACGAATTTTAATGAAATTTTCTTTGTAAACGATGATGATACAGAACAATAAGATTCTATCTTAGTTCGTGTTTTTCTTCTCTACACAAGGAGGCTACTGTTTCATGCAGGCTCGTTAAGGAACAAACTGATTTCGAATCTGAACTCGACCGGTTACAACAAAAAAACCGCTGTATTTTCAACTAAAAAAAAACCTTTTTTTTCGTTCATTTTTAAAAATAACTCATGTTTACTTTGTTCTACAATTGCTCTGCCAACTTCATCTTTGGCGGCCTTTTGTTTACGCGGTTTTCTTTTAATCATAAATGACTTCTTACTTGACAAGCTTAAAATTGATTGGACAATTTGAATAACGTCATAAAAACGTCATGAATTAAGCCTGGAAAATAAGAAATAATATAAAGTACGGCATATGGTTCGAACCGTGATGAAAGTAATATGTATCACGAAAAACAATGGGTATCAGGTATTTCTCACGTATTGTTCAAATATCCCGAGTAACGCCAAGTTTAACAGAATTATTTTCGAGCGGAAGCCAAAAGTATCAAAGAGAAACTACAAGATAAAAATAATTTAAATGTTCAAATTGTCCCTTTTTAAATATCCATGCATGGAAGGGTTAAAAACACAGAGGGGTCTTGCTATCCTGTATGGAGATATACTGAAA